TAAATAAAGTGTCTCCCTGCTATCAGTTCTTCGTCCTATGCTGATCTTTGAGGTTGGATTGGCATATGACACTATAATAAATTTTTTTAAAAAAATTAATTATTAAATATTTTTTATTATATTTAAATAGCAATAATAAAGTTATTTTATTTTTTTTTATAAAATTAACTTTAAAAAATTTTTATTTATTAATTTTAAATTATAAATATAAATATAAATATAATTTATTTCAGTTTTTTTTAAATCAAATTATAAGTTATATATTTAGTATTTAAAACTTATATTATTATAACATATTGATTATAGATTTGTTTTAATTTTAATAATGATTGATTAATTAAATTTAAGATAATAATTAGTTAACAAAAATAAATTAATTATAATTTTTTGATAAGAAATTTTTTAAATAAATAAGTTTTTTTAGTTTTTTATAATATAACAAAATATATTAAGTAGTTAAGATTTCTAATAATACTATTTTAATATTAAATTTATTATAAGTTGATACTATTTTGATATTATTTCAATATTAGTTTGAAACCTTATAAGTAGTATTAAAAAATAGGTAATATATATTGCTAATGTCTCAAGTTAATAATATAAATAATTTAGATATAAAGTTGAATTTTTTGAGTTAAAGAATAGTTTTCTAAGAAATAAATATAATTATTTAATTAAAAAAAATATTAATAAAACATAAAAATAAAAGAAATTCCAAAAAAAAAATATGATCTCTAAATTTGCTTTTTCTTAATCAAAGATTTCTTGTTTTTTTAATCTTAAAATTTATTATAAAAGAAAATTTTTAAGAAAATATATACAGAAAAAAGTTTTTCAAAAATTAATTGAATTATTATTTTTTAATTATTATCTTGTAAAATTATTACTAATAATAATTCAAAAATAAAAATAAAAATTTTGATTTTTTATTTTATTGATAATATATATTATACTTGCATCAAGAAGCTACATGTAAATACTTATCAAGCGTCATGTGATTAATTATACAGTAAGATATGAATCGCGTATAGCAAGTGATTCACGCTTACGCACCACCGTGAGTTCATGCTCACGACCCCTTTTGGTTGATGTTTGGCAACAATTGTTCAGGATACCTGCTTTGTTGACACGTATTTTTTATGTGTTTACTTTGTCACCTACTCCATAACAGTTGTTGACCAGATATTGTACTTAGCAACCTACACGACCCCTTTCAGCTGATGTTTGGTAGCAATTGTTAGGGATACCTGCTTTGTCATCTACTCCATGATGTTTGCTGACCAGTTGTTATTGAAACAAAGTTCCTAGTTATATACAGTATTATTGGACACGTTAAACGCAAACTAGTTATTAAAATAATTATCCAATGTCATTATCCAATATTATACCGACACTGTTAAATACTCCGAATGGAGCATCCTAGGTTGTTTGTATTTGATACAGAACCCTATGTTCATGTCTGACAGCATGGACGAAGTCGCGACCGTTATAAAAATATAATTAGAACACGTATGTCAAATTCATCATTAGTGAATGCAAGACATAAACTAGAATATCTCGAGTCCAAATTCGAGTCCACTTGGATGAATTCCGAAATCCGACAGTACTTCAATAAATTGGATCTCAGACAAATGTAAGTGTTAAAAGCATTCGTCACTCTGAGTTAATAGTCTGACTTATATACAAATTAGGAAATGTATGAAACACTTGCGATGACTGTATTAAGTGATGCTCTTAGCCAACATAAGTTTATTTCTGTACACATACTGTAACTAATTACTGAATGCTTATTATTTTACTTACCAATTTTTTGAAAGTCATATGCTGGAAATAGCAAAAAACGGCAACTGCCTGAAAATACTCATTATTTACTCATTATTATGAATCCAAACAAAGGAGAATTGCTGATAACGATACTGATGACAAATCAGAAACAAATCCAAATGATGAAGTGGATTTTAATGACAACAAAGTATTCAAATGATAACAGATGGCGATGCCAACGATTATAAGGTATTCCGGGATTATGAAGAGTACTGTGAAGAAATCTCAATAGAAGAGGTTTGTGTATTAATATATATGTTATTATCTCTTTTTTGTGTCTACCTAATATTTTATCCTTTCTTTTAATTTAGACTTTGACTGATCCTATTACAAGTTTAAGTTGGATTTTGTCGAATGAGAGAGATGTTTGTAATATTATCTAAATACCGTGAAAAAATTCCTCGCACAAAGGCATACCTCTAGTAAGTTACACTTGATTTGTAAGCGTAACATATTTTCCAGTGCCTACTTCTTAACTTTTAATATTTTATTTATAGTCCAGCTTATTTTGGAATATTAGATCTTTCTGGAGAGGATATCGAAGTAAAAAATTTGTTTACAGATGACGAATGGAATGAGATTATTTAAGATTTTAAAAGTAATGTAAATTTGAGTGATTTGGAACCTGGACAAGATGAACCGTTGTATAAATTAATGGACAAAATTACCGAGGTTAGTGAATTTGTAGTATTATCTTTTATTTGGCATATCACCTCATTCTTTGTTCTTATTCTAGGTGTTAGCAAAGAATCTCCATGACCTAGTTACCAGCATTGAAAGCTGTGTAATTGAAGTACGTATATAATTATATTTGATTTCTTATGAAAGCACGGGTCTAATGATAGTCATTTATAGGAGAATATAAAAGTAAACGCCATTAGACGACTTATCAGACTTAGTAAGTTTTTTGCCTATTCTATTATGGCTTTTAATAATCTTGGTTATTTTTTTGATAGGAAACTTTACATCGTATTCGAAAAATCCGTTATGAAATATTTATTGAAAAGTCAAGATTATATCAAAACCGACGAACATCATTACGTGCCATGGATTATTCTATTTGCAAATAAGGTCGCATAACTCGTACAAGAAAAGCAAAGGGATAATTTTCCGTTATACAGTATAAAAAATCGAGGAAAGTAAAACCACGTGATAAAATTTCAGCGCCAAAAATAAATGCCAAAAAAATTTTCGACCGTATGTAGCCAAATACAATGAAATAAATATAAATGCATGTCTATATAAGCGAAATCATGCAACTGATCATAAATAAACGAAATGGTTATACTGCGCCACTACTAAGCAATTAATGAACAGACTTAGTTTTATAACATAGCCATCGCAATTTTTTTTTGGTAATGTCTTTTCTGGTGATTAAATATCTTTTACTATTATGTCTGACTACGTATTAGACAATAATATTTTGAAGAATTTGTAGAATCGCCTATAAATGAAGAATTACTTGTAAATAAAAGGTTGTCTAGAAATGGAAGAAAAAAGCAAAAAAAAGAATTGAGATAACACTAATATTGTATAGAACTACTTTGAGATGAAAATATTAGAAAAGGGATTCTTTACTGTTTATCAACTTTGCAAAAAGAAAAACATTCTCACTTTTTAACGGAAAACATGTTTGGTCACTTTTGGTTTAAGTATCAACTTGATAAGATTATCCTAAAGGAACAAATATTAATAGTTTCAACTATTATGAATATATACAGGGTGTTATAATTTTTTAGAATTAATTTTAATTTTATCAAAAATTAAATATACAGTAAAATTTTGAAATAATATTTTTGAAAACCTATAGTTTAAAATTATTTAAAAGTGTTTTTATTCTTAAATTTTGTATTTAATATAAGTTAACAAATATTGATAAAATAAATTATCAAAGTTTTATATATGTTTATATATAAAAACAGTACAAAAAAAAATTTATTTAAGTTTTCTTGTAAAATATTTTAATAAATATTTTTTAAAAAGTATATTTTTATTATATAAAAAAATTTATACAATGAATTCTCTCTAAATATATACCTCTCAGAACCATAAGAAAAATTTTGAAAAATGTGTATTTATAGAAAGTATATATTTATAAAGATAATTTTATTAAAAGTTCTATATATTTGAAACCAAGCTTAACCATACATTTAGAGAAAGAAAATATAGTAAATGCATTTATAGAAGGTGTATTTAGGAAGGTCTCTCTGTATTAAAATTAAAACTTATTTTTTAAAAAATATTTTATAAATATAATTATTTGTAATAGTTTAAAAAAAAAATTTTTTTCAATCCCAATCACCATCTTTTTTACCTGTTAGTTGCCTAAATAAAAAGCCTTAAAGCGAACACTAAACTGACACTTCTCATATAAAGATATGGCTACCATATAATGAGACAAAGTATGTAAGAGTTGCATACTGCTTGGTATTTATACCTCTAGATTTGATAGCTTACGCCAACCGGTCCAAATCTAGATATTTTGTCTATTAGAAGATTAAAAATCGATCTGTAAGTGATATCTTGCAAACCTATATTTACATAAATTCTTAAGAAGTCATGCTCCAGTTGGCCATATAACTCCTAAGTTTAAAAGTATTGTAACCAACTAGTAGTCAAAACCGAAGTATTTATTAGAGAATATATACTTGCATCAAAGGTTCTTGCTATTGCATGTATTGTGTAAACAAAAAGATATAATGTGATAGGTAACTTATACTTAGGTAATTAATAGTATATACATAAGACTATGACTAAATTCTATAGGTTAAGTAGTTTAAAACTAATAATAGTATTTCTACTTCTATAGCATCCTAGTATTATGAGAAAAGTTATTAAATATCAGGTTTCTGGATATCAAATGAATAAAGTTGATAGGCTAATATTTAATTGTAGTCATATATTATAATAGATATTTGATGTAATGGACAAATGATATATTATCAATAAAATTTACATCTAATACTATTTAATTTAAAAAAATATATACTGTATATATATATTTTTTAATTTTTATATATTATCTGAAATTTTAAAAAATAATTAAATAAAGTTTATAATTTTTTTGTTTAATTATAAAATATAATATAAAGTTAAAAATTTTTTTTTTTTTTTAAGAGGCAAATTATACAACGATGCATATCTTTTATTGATACTAATATCTAAGTTATACATCAAGTGTCTTCTAAGTACAGAGTCATTTTGTACAATTCGTACACCATTTATGTCTTCTATGTAACTAGAATTAACACTGCTTTATTGACTATTACTAGTAATAGCTAACTTAATTTGACCTCTAACCCAGCTATACGAACTTACACTTCGTGAATGGGCCCACACGCCAGGTGGGACTAATTTCCAGGGGGTGAGAGGTCCTGCTATCAGTTTAAACCTGCCTAAACCTGTTAGTCCATCTAAGTCGTAAGGAGCATGTATCTTTCAGGGTTAATTAGAACACCCGGATAATCCGTTCAATACTTTTTGCTTGAAACCTCAGAGAAGATACTATACTTATTGTCACCACCTGCGGCTTTCGTTTGTGCGACGAATCGTCCAATCTTCTTTTAAGCAAGCACCAGATTGGGATAGCCTCAAGCTAGAATGTTCTTTTGTGCTACAGAGTCTGCTGTGCCAGGGGGGTTTGTGGGCTTTTATCGGAGTTAGACCAGAAGCCTTTCCTCATACAACCTTTCCTGCTTCGACCTGTTTTCAGCCCGCGATCGTCAGAAAGACCAGAGGTCCCATCTTCATGCAGCCTAACTGAATTTAGTCAGGATCCAGATGTTTGGTTACTCCATATATAGGAAAACCGGTAAACCTACATGCAGATGAATTTTTTTGCATTTGCCCCCTGTGGATATTGAACCAGGGACATACATTTGGAGACCTGGGAGCACTACCCACTGTGCTATAGACCCACAGGTTTATAAAGTTAAAATTTTTTTTAAAAATTATAAATTATTATATATATATATTTTAATTACAAATTAATAAATTTTTTAAATTTTTAAAAATTAATTTATTATTTAATTTAATTATATAAATACTTTTTCTAAAATATTGTATTATTTTATTTGTTAAAATATTTAAACTTGAAGTATAAAATTATTTTAATATTGCCATCTGGCAAGATATATTGTTTTAAATTTTCTTTTCAATATTAGTTATATGGTTACTGTAGGCAAGCTAGCATTTAACTCATTGTATCAACATATGAGAGATGTTATTTCTTTTACGATATATACTCTGCTATATATAAATCAAATAAAGAAATGATGTTTACCTACAAAAAAAAAAAATTATTTTAATATATTATAATTTTTAAAAGTAATAGGTTTGATTTTATTTATTTTTTATTTATTTATTTTTTTTTTTTGCAAAAGGCATTAAATGTGAAACATTTATTAAACTTTTATTTTTACGTCATTACATTAAGAATCTCTAACATACAAAATAAGTAGATTAATCCTAGCCTAATACAAATAAAGTTGACATATGCAAACCTTTGAGAATCCAAGTAGGGGAAAGGAAAAAAAGATAAAAATAGCTAGCTTCTAGTTGTATCATAAACCTTGCATATGTGCTCCATAAGTGGTAATGGTGAAGAGTGGTGTGGTGCTTGGATTTTGAATTGTGGTCTGGACCCATGTAACCATGTGACCAAAGATAGTGTGATTAAGGATTACCAATCCTGTTCATATTGGTGACCCAGATACCAATATGACATGATTGACTTACGTCGATCTTTTGATGGGAGTAAGCTGCTTATAGTTTTTGTTGTGAAAAATTTGGGAGCTGGGTAAAACAAGAAGACAGTCCCGTGGTCATTCTTCTTGAGTGATATGTGGAATGATAGTATTGTCAAGTATTCAAGATAGGGTTGCTCATAACTGTATGCTTCTGATATACTGGTTAGCAGTCTAGGCCCTTAGCAAAGCAAGTTCTTATACGATTGGTACTGTTAATCAAATTTCCTCCTTTTACAACCTCTTCTCGCATTTGACTGACTTGACATGTAATTATTGATTATAGAAAGGTGTGCCTAGGACTTTTAGGATAATGAGATCCATTCTCACAATCCTGACCTTTCAATCAGAGTAAAACTATATTGACCTTTTCTGTGTTAAGCTCTTTAGAACAAGAGAAGAAATCTTGAAAAGAAGCCCACACTTCTTGAGCAAGTAAGATGTAGACTTGAGTAAAGTTGGTAGCTTGGTTAAGATAGGAAGATAACAAACCAGAGGGTTGATGAAATGGAATGGTAAAAGAAAGTGAGGCCTAGAAAGAAAACCTTCAAGGGGAAGGGAAAACGTTCATCAGCAGAAAAGGGGATTTGGGAAAGGGAGAAAGGAAGAAAGGGGAAGAAAAAGATAAACTGCTCTCATGTTTGTGATTATCAGACGTACACAAAACCTCACAAGGAAAAGGTTGGCCTCTCCAAAACCTTTCTAGTCCTTGTCTCAGACTGTTGTCATGTGTAGGAGTTGGTCTGCTCACGCTTCCCTAAACATGATTGCTTCTCCTAGATGTGGAATCTCGACGGTTAGAGGAGCCTTGTGTGGTATCAGCACATCTCAGACTCATCATGCTTGAGATTTCATCTTGCACAGAAGAAGAAAAAGGGAAAGGGAAGAAAATTTCCAAAAAAGGAAGTTTTCTGACGAAGTAAGGGTAAGTGAGAAAGAGTTTTTTTTTTTTTTTTTAGGTTTGGTTTTTTTTATTTTTAAATTTATTTAAAATAAAATAATAATATTTGTTTTAAAATATTATAAAATTAAAAAATTATTAACAAATATTTTTTTAATAATTTAAAATAAAAAATATCAAAATATCTAATTGATTTATATAAAATATATGTTTTTTAATATAATTGAATTAATATTTAAATAGTTTAAAACTAATAACAAAAGTTTATTTTTTATATAAAAATATATAATCTTTAGAAAATTAATAAAATTACATATATATTTTTTTAAAGTAGGTAAACATTATCACTTTATTAATTATATAATTGTTTAAAATTTATATATGGAGAAAGTGACAACATCTCTTATATAAC